AAGACTAATCGAAGAACATCAGGAGAGGAGGCTGAATCAATTGTTGTGTCACATGAAGATAATCCATCATAATAAATATATTTTTGAATTCTGCTAGCTCCTTCGGTTCAGAAATCAAGGTTTTACTGAAGTCCGTTCGTCAATACTTTCGCAAAGAATATAGATTACTGAAATTTGATATTCATTTGTTGAGAAGTTGAGTCAGTCCGAACATTTGTATAAATTCGATAGACTCAAATATGTAGTTAGTGTGGAAGCGAGGGCAATGCTGAATCCACGCCCCCACACCTGGTCGGAGGCATTATATGCAGAGAACACTTCTCAGTATTAAAATCAGAAACTATTAGGTGAATGGTGACAGTTCTCAAGTAGCTTGTACTCTGACAGAACAGCTGAAAACGATGATAATAGAACAAAACAAATAATATGCATCATTTTCACGAAATCCTGCAACAAGCACCTATTCTTTCGAATCATTTGACATTGTAAATACAAGAGCCAATAAATGCTGTCAGATTACATTTGTTACCTGTTTTAGCCAGCATCGGCCTCAGCCTAGCAGAATACGTGGCCAGCTTGGAAGACTCCGACAAGTTTCATTTCCTGTCCAGTCGGGGAGAGGCGAACGAATAAAACAGCCGCCGAAATGGCTGAAGAAAGGAAAATATACATGGCAAACCTAATTGAATTCTACATGTGCAGATCTGTGTTGTTGAAAAATAAAATTTATTATATCCAGGTTTATCTACGCATTTGAACCTCTGCTGCATGAATGCGAGGTTAATAGTTAAGTACCCGAATTTTGAAGAGTACCATTACTCTCCATGTAGAGTTGTATTAGAAATCTGATTGTACACAAGTTAACGAAAGAGGGTCATAGAATAATTGCATGTCATAGGGAAATGACTGAATTTTTGTTTTAATGAATAAGGGAACCTTGTAAAACACCGAATAAAATCTGACCTTTAAAACCGAAATTCATTTATGATAATTACAGTTGAGGTCAGCGGAAACAACTTATAATATTAAATTACTGTGCATAAGTTCTCCTGCGGTGGAACAACTGACTGGACCTTAAAAACTGCGATCACGAAAATCGTCATGACTGCCATCCGTTCAAGCGACTAATAGCGCATTTACACTACGAACTTCACCATCTTATGAAAGATTGAATTTAAGTTTGCAAAGATATTCGAATACAAGAAAATAAAGACAGTACGAATGACGGCGACGGCACAGTGATGCCATTTCATGAAAAAAGCGCGCTAGATATACACGCTACGCGCCATCGGAACGTGACTCACGTAACAATTCGATGCGACAGCATATAATGCGTGAATGTAATAACATTTTGTGAATTTGAAACCTTTAGGGCACCGGCGGTCCAGAAGATTAAAATTTGGCAAACAGTGCCTGCAACAAATAAACATGAAGTGCGATTTTCTTAAGAGAAAGTCAAAAACATGTCATTACAATTTCAGTCGGCTGTTTTCCGCACATTCTCGCAAAAACTTCACGTTTGACAAATGTTAGCATTTAGCTGCTGTATTATTACAATATTCTGGTATTACATGAAAAACTAAGCACTAAGGATTGTATATGTAAGCTGAAAGAAACTTGCCTTCAATTTGCTCAGACTTCAGAACTGTTCATTTCGAACATCATTTGACCCATCTGACGCTGTTATAATGTTCAAATAACTTAGTTTTACAAAATAAATTAGCAAATAAAGCATATAATTACAAATGAACAAATCTTACAACAGCAATAATAGTACGACAAACAGGTGAATGATCGCAAAGAAATTTTAAAACTTTCGAGAACACATCAAGTACAAGCGTAGCAAGTTTATGCCAGATAAAATTATCACACCAAACATATTGCGAACAAGCTGCAGGTGATCGAAAATTAACAAGACGCAAAGGTGCGTCTAGACGTAAACTGGCGACTAACTGCGTCTCCGCAAACAAGGCAAACAGAAAGGGAGTGGTCGTCAGGGATGGAAGTCCATCGGCGTGAAGGATGCCGGATGCCCATCATTCGCATTTAAAGCTGCTACGAGTCGCATACGAAGCTATACAAACAAATATACATGTAAAATGATTAAATTTGCGGTTAATTTTCCATTATATGAGGTATGAGCCATTGATTCAGAATTTTAGACAATATGAACGCCTTACAGTTGCACCAGATGTGGCTAAAACATACGAGACTAATAACAAAAACTAAACAAAAATTTAGTTTAGGTGAGTAGCTTGACGTAGCTGTTGTAGTTGGCAATGTTCCGTTTCAGAATTTCTGAACAAGGACCGAGCACTCGTTCGAAACGATCGCGATCCATCTTAACGCACTTCATAGCTGTCTTAGCCAACACCGTTGCCGCCCTTGGTCTGTCCAGCAGCAGAGCGATTTCACCTAAAAACATTGCCATTAAAACAAAAAACATAACAAAAAAACAAAATACGGTGCAGCAGGTTCACGCAACAAGCAACATGCGTGGCGTAACCTTTCCCTCCATGTATTCTATGAGAAATTACTTCAATTAGAAGCACCACCGAATAGTAACACTACTTCATGCAATAGATATACCGAAACACCGCTCACTGCTAACCTTTTAATTAGATCAAGTTCTAATTTACCTGATGACCATTAAACTATTTGCACTGAAAACGGTGAAAATGTGAAAGTCCCCTTACTTTGAATTTCAAATCTATAATAATGTTTTTTTATGGCAAATAACTGAAGCGCCTAACAATCAGTGATGATATATTACAAGCTAAACTGAATGATTTCACCAATGCTAAACGGCCTACATCGTTTTCTTCTATGTATAATTTTGATTATGATAATTAAATAAGTCTTATAAGACCAGAACTCGTAGCGTTATTACACATTTCCCTTGCTCTTAGTT